CACCTGTATTAAAGAACCAGGAGAAACAGAACATTTTCAGAACAAGCCCTTTCACTAAATATAGAAGCTCACAGGACCCACCTGAGGAACGCACCCTCCCTAACAATCAACAGGGGAAGACTTTCACAGGGCAAAGAAGCAAAGAACTCTAAACTGAGTTTTCTGCAGCTCTCTCACAGCCTCTCTCCGCTGCCCTACAGACTATCACTGCAACAACTTCCCCCACAGGATAACCAGTGTGCACTCCCAACAGGCTATTCCAGAAATCCCAAAACAACAATCCTAAAAAAAAAGAGGGGTGGGAAGCAACATTTAAATTAGCAACTCTTGGAAATCTGACTTCTTTTGAAGCTGTATTTTACATAAAGCTTTGCTGGTGATATTTAATACTCTAACTAGATCATGTATATTACTACTGTATCATTGGTGCTCGAGTGGACGTCCCAAATATCCTCCAGTACAGACATTCCTCAAATTCCTGTACATACCAACTACTCCACTGAAAACTGTCTTCAATTAATGTCTTACTTCCTACCTCATCCTAATCAACTCACCTTCTTTTCTAAGCATTCTGCAAATTTCAACTGCTTCAACAGCTTCTTCTGCTTGTTGCTGAAGCGATTGTCCTGTTCTGCACTTGTTCCCTAGGGCAGAAGAAAGAAGATTTTCAGTCTGGGTGACATTCAACTACCTTCAAGAATTAGTTTCCCACATATCTGCACTGGACAGGGGACAGCAACACCAGTCACACCATTCTGTAAGCAAATAACCTTTCAATTTTAGCACTCCAGTCTTCATCTACTGTTGAAGATTTAGGGGTAAGCAGGCTCCTGAGCTCTACAGTGACACTTTAATCACATAATCTCCCTGGCATGCTACAAATTTATAGAGTAGTATCAAATTGCTATGAAAAGGACTGAGGCTGGAATTCACAAGCTCCTCAGAAGGAACAAGCTCTTCTTCCTCTGTCCAAGAACAAAAATGTCATATTTGTTTACAGTGAAACCTTTGGGTAAATTTCTCTGAAGCAAACCAGCCAACATAGAGCCAGCAAGAGTACAAAGAATACTATTTTATTGATCATGCTCTGTTAAAAGTTCATCAACTTTGTTCCACTTTCATGAACAGAAACTATAGGTTAATTCATTTGGAATTGAAAGGCTTGAAAGTCCAGTTCTGGAAAATTGAATTGCACAGAAGTAAATAGAACCAAACATGAACAAGAGTATGTGCAGAACTGAATCCGAATGCTGATGACCTGTTAACAATTTAAAACAAACCCACAGTTCACACGTGAAGTTTATTCAGGAAACCAACTGGGCTGATAGAAAACACAGGAATTTAATACATGTAATTTCCTAGGCACAGAAAAAGGGGTTGAGAACCAGCAATAACATAAGCTGCTAAGGAACCAAAAGATAATACATAAGAAAAAGCTCAAGTTCTCAGGTAACCTAACCACTTCCTCTGATCAAAAAGCACCTTGAACTGAACACAACATGGTACAAAGTCATCAGAGACTGAAAGGAAATGAAGTATTTAAAATTCTCGTTTGCTATTGTGGAACACAGGAATCCTAAAGACTGACTGTGGCCCAGGCACTTACCAGGATTAAGTCTGTTTAAAACTCTTTTTAATACTTGCAGCCTACTGTGTGTGGCCTACCCATCAGCAACAAACATAATACTTGTCAGATCACGCAAGAATTTCACGTTCTATACTTGTTTGGTTTTAGTTTTTGGGGTTTTTTTTTAAATTCACTCTTTCACAACCCAGAAGTGAAATGAAAAGGAATAAGATTTTTTTTTTTTAGCCTGTTTATAACACATGGGAAGCAGTGATGGTAACCAAACAACAGAGTGTCACAAGAATTTCAATGCAGAGACAAAAAAGTCTGCACCAACAGACTGGTGTATTAACACAACACTGAATTAAGTGAAGGGTTATGTGCACCCTCGTGTTTTAAAAGCATCCTAGCTTTTTTTTTGGGCTGAACAGGTGAAAGAATCTTGGAAAATTAAACTGCCTGTGAATATTTAAGGACTCTCACACACACTGGTTTTCAAAACTGTCAAGGAATCCAAATAAAATAGGTTCATTCCAATTAACGGGAGAAAGGGCTGAAAAGAGATATACCCTGGGTAGGTTACTGTTTAATAGTCTGCAGAAAATAATACACAGCTGTAAGAGAAAAGAAAAATTCGATTACAATAAAATTCAAATACGAACCCAAGAACACATGGTAATTTCTGTTTGTTTTGAATACATTTAACTTTTATACCGCAGCTTAAAAATTTCCCTCTAAAAAGGGCCGTTTTGTTTATTTCTTTTGAATTCAGACACCAAAGTGCATTTCACTGCGAAGTCGGGTTCATTTCCCACCGGTCCCTCGGCCTTTCCTCCCCCACTTCCTCGCACCTACGGGCCCTCGGAGTTTCGCTCGGGAAGCGGCCGTGACACCCGCCCGCACCGGGCAGGCCCCGCCGCGGCGGAACCCCTC